GGGGGGGGGGGGGGGTTGTGGTGAGTGATGAGGAGCGATGGGGTGGTAGGTTATGGATCTACGGTAGCGATCGATGAGCATTGTAAATAAACAGGCGATTATAATTTATTTCTCGAGACTCGCGGGAATCGATGCGCCGCGTTGCATCTGGCTGCCGCGCGGCTCTTTAATGCATCTAGGATATAACGGGTAACGATTAATAACGCATCGGACCGTCGGAGCTTGCGAGTCGTTGGAAAGGAGCCTTTTAATGAAGGAATAACGTACTGCGAGGGCAACACAGGTCAATTTCCGCAAGCACTAAGCCGCACGAGGGATTTCGATGTTGATTCATGAAAATAGATAAAAGAGGTATATGATACATAGTGACGTAGAAGAAATTACTACGTTTCCTTCCCTACGATTAATTCCTCTATGGATATTAATGGAAACATCAAACATTAATATTACACCTGAATAACACCACGGAAGCACTCGCAGTCTTTAAACGACAAGTGGTCAACGTTACGTTCACATGCGAGGCGACCAGGCATGCAAACGCATAATGTGTGCCCTGTGACGCTGTGAAAAATAAAAGTTACGTGATTGCGTACGATGAGGTTTTTTTTTTCATTTTTACTTTTTTTTTATTATTTTTTAAGTCAGTATAAGTCAAAGTTCGAAAACGCAATCTGTGGGCGGGGATTGGTGTCGCGTGTAAAATTGCTTATGGACCCGACGATATCGTTCGTATCCCAATGCACGTGTGTGCTATGCAAAGATGGGCTTTTTCGCGGTCTAGGAAAAATTCATATTCGACCATAATCGATATACTTATGTATATATATGATATCGATAACTAGGTCGATGCGAACTTGGGCGAAGTCGGAAATAACGTTTGGAGGAAATTTCAAAAGTTAAAGGTAGTGTACTCGTCTCTGGAGATTACATGCCAGAGACTTTATATACATATGTATTGTGGATGCATAGGGTAGAGCGGGAGATAAGATGATAAGGAATCTTTTTTTTTACAACTTTTTAATAGGGTGAGGCAGGTTGGCGAATCTAAATTCGTACGTCGTGCAAGGGTTGTTAATTGATGTGCTGACAAAAATAAAAAATTTTTACACTAATCGTTTTTTTGGGGGGGGGAGGGGGGCGCTGTAAATAACAGTGTCTGTATTCCGTAAGGGGTTTGCAGAAATGTATAGACGTAAAGGTATCACATGTATGTCTATGAAAGAAGGACACGATTGGGGTTCTGATTTCGAATTGGCACTAGAGGGGTGAAAGCGAATAGAATCATGGGGGGGGGGAGGGGGG